GTTAGGGTTCGCTGTTTTGGCAATTTTTTTATATTTTGTTACACAAAAAAGAAATAAGTGAAATACATTTGTATGTATTAATGTCAAATATTAACTGCTGTTCGGAGAAATTTACTTGAAAACAAAAAATCCTCCACTTTTTTAATTTTACCAAAATTTACCAAAAAAATTAAAAAAATGTTTCCCATTTGCATGCAAACAAACCTACCAATTTAAAACAGTTTTCTGAAAGATTTAATTTTCTAAAAAAAATTAAATTCAACTGTACCAAACTCTGCAACCGCCGATTGAACCATTTTTAGCGCCCTCTGTACGCAGTTAGTCAAATGCCCGCGAAGTAAACTTGGCAACACTGTTTACCGAGCAGCTGATCGAAACTGCGCAAAATGAGCGCCAGCAATTCAAAGCCGTCATCAAAATAGAGAAGCTGGATAGTAAACAAAATTTTCTGCATACAAAAAATATTAACAAAATAAGTTGGTTAAACTAAAGCAGGAGCGTGAAAGCTACGAAATGTTTTTAACTATTCAAAAGAAAAGAAAATTGGTAAGATACAATTTATTTTGCACACAAAAATGGCAAGCTTATTAAGGGACAGTTTTGCTGAACATTTCCTCACTCTTTCAGTTCATAACCCTCGTGAAGCGCATGACACAAATGCAAAAAAAGTACGAACGTGTATCCAATAAATTTGAAAGGGTGCTGGACGAAAGGCACTGCGCATATGTAGAACTACTACAGGTGGGGAAGGACATCCTTAAGCTCGGCAGAATTATCATGTACTTGGGTCGGTCAGTGCTGCGTCAGCAAACTGCGGAACTGGAGAAACTCAAGGAAATATATGCGGCGCTGAGGAATGATGTGTGAATGGTGTCGGTGGCGGCGGCAGGTTAGGCAGCAAACATGCGCAGTTTCTGATGAAAGTCTCAAGTGACTTGCGCAGTTAGGATGCGTAATTTAAGTGCTTTAACTTATGTTTTTAGTAAATAAAGGAATTTATTATAAGTTTTTTGTACGTAAGAAGTGTGTACAAGTTATGGAATGTGTTGATAAGGTGTGTATCTGGTTTCCTTGTTGTAAGGCGGGTATAGCGCTTAAATGCAAGATAAGACTGCTAATGTTTCTTTCAGCCATATAATGCGTACCTACGTCCATAATTTCCCTTTTAAGTCTAGGTTCACAAAATGGCGTAGGCATAAATATGTATAGAGATGGCGGATGAAGGAGGTTGTCGAGAATTTAAGGGACCTCAAAGTCAGAAGGTTCCCAAATTGGAGTCTCATATTCATGATCTTTATAATGAAAAATACTGTGCGGACAGAAAATTTACGGTTTCGCAACCCACAGTTTTTAATCATGCATTATTAAAACAAAGGCGATATTTCGGAAGTTTAAAATACCTCTGGCGAAATACATTCATACATATCGTTAGTATAGTATGGAAAGGGCGTAAATCGTCGCCGAAATACAAAAAGCCTTAACTTACTAAAAATCCAAAATTCACTTGGTTGACTATGATGCATTTCGTCAAATTATAAGTGCCCTCATCGTTTTATGCAATAAAAAAAATTTAGTTGGGGCTTTTTTCCACTTCAGCGACGATGTGAGATACACCCTTTCCATACTCCAGTAACGATATGTACATATACATATGTACATCGAAATCAAGTAAGGTCATTCTTACATCCAAAAAGTATTCTACGAAATCTTCCTTTTTTGGCAAATCTTCTAAGAGACCTTTTATTGAAGGCTAAGGACTATCGATCGAAAGGCATCGCTAAAGAAGCAACTGTCTTGACAGTTGATTTTTTACACCTACATAAAAATGCGCTCCTTGCAAGCCAAAGTTTCCAAAATCTCAAAGATTAGCGGAAGTTTGTTACGAATTCTGTAACGATTTCTTTACGAATCATCAAAGAAAACCATATGAAATGGTTGACACGAACGAAAAAAAATTCCTGTAGGACTTCTGTTCCGACAAAAATTAAAACAATGGCGTCCATAGTTTTCATTGAGGAAGCACATCTTCAAACTTTTGTTGAAGCCGAAATCGTAGACTGCCGCGTTTTGAGAATTAAAAAGATTAATAAACGGATTTCGTAAAATTAAAACAGAAATTAATGTAAAAATTTCCGGTTTCGGCAAAGTTTTCAGTGAAGAATGATTTTGTACAGATTTTCTTCCGAAATTTCGTTAAAGAATCGAAGTGGAAAGGGAATAAATAATTTCCTTTCGAATTCTTGAAGAAGTCTTTACTATTCAGAAATTTGTCTGAAAGCATGATTTGCTGGGCTAAGACATGTTTATTAGGCCTAGTTTATCATTCAATTTGTGGTATGTGTCTTGATATTTTCTCCAAACCGCAGAGGGTTTATTATGAGGTGACATTCCTCGGAGGTTTCCTGCTGCTTACCAAGGGAACAGGACACTTTTAGAAAAAGCTGTTTTGCCGCTTAGATTTAGCACGGACCCGTCATCGGCGCCAATAGTTCTACATTTTATTTTATTAATTTTAGTAACCGACCTATGGCATGACACCAAAACCGCCGCCCATAGACTCGGAGGAAACAGAACTGCCGAGACCAGATGCACCCTAGCACAACTCCGTTCCGGGTGGTGTCACCGACTAAACAGCTACCTTTCTCGGTTGAACACACAAGTGGCAAAGACCTGCCCGGCATGTGGGCAAGGTCCCCACGACAGCCACCACCTCTTCACATGCACCTACAACCCTGCACGGATCTCTCATCGACTGTGGGCCACCTTACATACCTAACTTCTCTGCTGCGTCGGCCTAATAATTCCACTTTTTTTACTTTAATCATCGACCTACCATATGTGTCTCAGCAGACCCGGGAACTACAGCTACAACCACGGAACCGAATTGACGCGGGTTTATAGCTGGCCAGAAATTATAACTCCAGCAACATTTCTTTAAAACTTTGGTGAATTTGCATGTTGCTACAGCAACAACCTCCCTCATTTCAACTAGGAGTCAAAAATACCCGTGGTTGTCTACAGAAGCAGTAAGGAGCCCTTTAGTTCTTTGAATTTCAAAGCAAATATTCTATAACTTCTTGCCCCGCCCTGCATCCGAATCAATGCCAAATGGAAGCCCAACAGTTATTTCCATCCTAAGTCACAAGAGCAGCAAAAACGATAATGCATTTCCGGAATGATTAGACACAAATTGGTAATGCTAGTGATGCTATCGCCCGCAAAAGAGTAAAACATTTCCTCAAAAATTGTACCCGCTTGTTTCCAGGAAATATTGTAAGCTAAAGTACATATAAAGCGTTTTAAAAACATTAAAGCCAAACAAAAGCTTACGCTTAAAACCTGTGGAACAAACATACCGACAATTTAAGGAGCGGATCCAGCAGCTAAAACTCAGGCTCTAAACTTTGAAGTGATGTTGCTAAAGATAGGATTTTGCAATTGCTTGACTCGAACACTATGCTAGCGGAGCGCCAGGACTTAAGCCAACATTCATTAAAAAAACACGTGCCTCATTTAAATGAATGTCCCACACTGAACGGTCATACAATGAATGCCATGCAACGTCTCTAGCAAAAATTTTACAAAATCAACAAGATTTACTAAAAACGGAAACCACAGCAGCAACAAAAAGGAAATAGACACATACAAACCTACATATAACTGAAAAAAAGTTTGGTGAAAATTGTAAGTGACTACTAACCTCGCATACTCCAGCAATATGCAAATTAAATTGACGACAAATTGTGGTAAACACTTTAAATTTCACTTTAAAAACAGTTTGAATATTAAAGAACCACTAAACAAAAAATTTTTCACCCTTTTAACACTTTTTAAAAATACACTACACCACTCGCTATAAAACGCGCAAATTAACTAACAACTTCCGCCAAAAATTTACAAATCTCAACAGCGCGCTGCGACCTCTAGCGTTCAGCAGCAAAGCGCTTGATATAGGTTTGCATTGGAGCTACTGCTAAGAACGAGCTGGCAACATTGCGACGTAACAGCTGTTTAGCAATCTATAGATAAATTTAAAATTTGGAAAACAGACCGATGCATCTTGGAAAAGCATCACCGCGCGTAACTGTTAACTGATTTATTGAAAAGCTGAACTGTAATTAAAAACAGCCACATATTTTACAATTCGTATTACATTCACGCGAATACTCAGCCAAATGTCGCATAACTCCTCCAACATGTCGCTTGAAGATTGGGTAAGTTGTCACTTGATACTTTTTTTTTTGGGGGGTTCTGAGTGTTGTTGGCGGGACCAGGTCCCTAGAAAGCCAGGTTATCCCTCCAATTGATACTTTTTGATTTATACGTGCAATCTTGTCGTCATCACAGACCGATAACATTAACGCCCGCTTGGATGTCATCTACAAAGAGCTATGCGATTTCGAGCAAAGCGTCAATGCACAAATGGAACCGGGCGATACAGAGGAGGTAAAACTTATGGAATTACTAGAAGCTGTGAATGAAATCCAACGCACTGCGCGCAGCATACGTCCGATTACGAATACTTTCAAAGATAAACAATCGCAAATGCGTGAACAAATGGAAATGTTACAGCGTACGGTTGAGTTATTGCATTTGGAGAATAAAACGAGCGCGGTAGATATTAAACCAGCTATGGAGGAGTGACGGTTTGTCATATCTTGCAGTGCCATTAAACTATACTGATGAAAGCGGCGCAAAACCTCCGGAACTACTGCATTTAACGGAGTTAATTTTAAGAATTTTTCAAAAATGAATTTAGGGTAACTTACGTATTGTTTTGTATATTTTATGTATGTATGTAAGGTAAATATAAAGTTTACGCTCCATGCTGCCGAACTGCGCACATTAACTATAGAACCATAATGTCCATCCATCCTACGTTAAGACCAAGTAAATTTTACGTAGTGAATAGATCCGCCTGATACAATCCAATTTGCCCTTAATTGATAATTTTTATAAAACTATTTAATCTTAAAATAAAGTACAAAATTTTAAAAGAATTAATTTTAATTTTATTTTATTAAAGAAAAGACAAGGAATAAATAAAATTTCATTGACACATGCGATGTGCTTTCGCATTTGTGTATACACAAAAATACGTTGGCTACCGTTACAGCCTGGCACATTTGTGCAATCACAATTTGAAAATTGTACATGCGTAAAATTTACGTATATTATGGTTCTACGGTTAAGATAAGTCAGAGTTTTTAATGTGGTTTTTAAGCGTAATAAATAGTCGTATCAGTAAAAAGTAGTATTAGTTTGCTTTCTACGAGTTGACAGAGTTATTACTCAGCTGAGCTGGGAAAAACATTTTCGGTTTAACAACAGTCATATCCATGCTATCGGAACCACTTAGATCAATTACTGACCAGCACTGTCGCCTCCAAAACTTTTTGATAAAATTCATACGTATGCTTTCATAATTGTGCTTAACTTTATTTAAGCTTGAATCCACAACTTGACTGCCATTCTCTAGCTGAGGATTAACATTTACTCAAAATTTTTGCGCTGCGTGCTGCAATTTTTCTTTGTTTTCATGCATAAACATACACTTATAAGTACTTATACATATATATTTTGTGAAACATTTTGTATAAGCTTATAATAAAAATTTGTATATTACCAAATATTTCTAAAATTTGCAAATTTTAACTACTAAAAGCGAGGAACAACAAGGGAGCATAAAATTTGAGTATACAAATTAGCAACGTGTGATGGTATTAAAATTAGAGATTTCCTAAAGATTTTTGCAATTTCAACTTAAAAAAGAATTTTTATATCACACTGGAAAAATTTTTTTAAGAAAAATAACTTAAGCATACAATAATTACAAATAAAAACTTTTAACTGCATATGCATAAAGTATGCCTCAAATGAGGTTATAACAAATACCTTGGGTCCATTTTGGCCACCAATTTCTGTGTGCCTTTTTTAACATACAACTAAAATACCTTAAAATACCCAACTTATTTCCTCAACTTACAACAAACTGTGTGCTTAAGAGGGGGCGGGGGGAGGCAAAAGGAAATTGAACAACAAATAAAGATAAATGTTGTTTTGTGTCCGTCCGTCAACATCGAAGCATGCCGTCATTCGCTTTCATACCCGCGCTTCGTAGCCACATCAATAGCTGCATCTAAGCCACTATCGTCAACGCCACCACCGTCGATACCATCGACACTACCACTTCGCCCACCAACAATTTGCAGCCAAGCCAAAAGCAATTGTAATGCCGGCCATAGCAGTACCAAATTTCAGATGTCAGTATTGATACTAATACGTGTCAAGAACTCGCCCTGCGAATCGGCGACAGCGCGTATAATTTCCAGCAGCAGCTCACGTGAGAGTGCACCAATTTTAGGCAGACGCGCTACTTTGGTGAAATCCTTCACTATCAAACGCAATGCATAATCTTTGATGTCGTAAATTTTTGTTATATCCGATGCTTCTAATGTTTGCAGCACATTCTCATAGGTGATGTTGTGTTCTAGTGAGTACTTGCAAAAGGCGGCAAGCCGATTGTTGGCTAGACCATAAAAGCATGGCGCTTGAAATAGATACAATGCATCTTGTGGCGGCATTTTCGTCTCGCCATAGTAAATGTAGCGTAGCAGCGATTGGAAAGCCTCCTGTGAGGGTGAAATCTCGCCTATTTGGATCTGCAGAGGAGATAGGCAGTGACATGAACATTTTAGTTGCGAACATCGCTTGACTCAACTTACATTTACTGTATTATCGGGCGGCATGAAGGACCTAAACATGCCCTGGAAGTAGGTGCAACGTGCCGATAATATCGACTTATGCGCTGGCACAACTTGACCATCCAGTATGAGATTTATATCGCAAAAATCCTTGCCAGTCGACTCCAGAAAGAGAGCCATATCGCTCTCCAGAGTTGTGCCTGCTGGATGAAAATGGTATTAGCAACAAAATAAATTTGAATTTATAAGCAACGCACCATCACTTTTCTCAAAATTGTTTTCCATGACGATCTTGCTGGGATTAAGGCGCCTACGCACAATTTCAACTATCAAACTCTTATCCAAATCACCAAATTCGCTGGACATTACCACGTCAGTATAGTTTTCATCCTTAATAATGAATTGCATGCAGTGATCCTTGATGATTTGTATTCTGGAATGAATATAAATGTAAAAAAGATAAGTAATTTTTAAGCAAAAAACAAAACCGACTTCAATTCTCATATACAAATTTAAGATTTAAACCAAATTAGTATGAGACCACCTGTGAGGTTACACCTTTTCTTTCAAAAAAGAAGTGAAGTCGGTTAAAAATATTTAAATAGAAAGCAAGCTTATTTTCCCCACTCACTTATTCTTGTCCGCATTGTAGAGCGCTTCCAGCACATTCTGCTTGTTGATCTTAAAATCCAAATACTGTATACACCCCTGCGCCAGTCGCGGCATAAGAAATCTGCCCGCCAACTGGTATATATCAGTTATCAATATAATTATATTCTTGCTGTATGACTCCTTCAAGTCTATGCGATCCGTGTAAATGTAATTCAATATAATCTCGAAAGCCTCTGGCGACGCCTGCGCCAACCGCACCTCCAGCATGGGCGCGCGATCACCACCACCTGTACCCAATGCGCTATGTATATCCATATTCGGCCCGAAAACCTTTTCCATTTGCTGTTGGCGCGCATCACGCGCTGCTAATATCTTAGTACGCAAGTGTTTCGAACGCGCTGCCACAAACGCGATATGCGCCAATATGTTAATCTCCTCGGGGCCAACAATGAATTGTATATCGCAAAATTGTTTATCGTGAAAGAATTTGCCAAAGTCATCGCGCAGCGTACATTTTGGATAGCTAGAGAATTGAAAGCGATAAGTGTCACCGCGACGTACGCTGTTGTCGACAGTGCCACCAAAAATGTACATAGCATCAGCTATGACAGCGCTGGCATGAAATACACGGCCGGAGGGTACATCGGAATTCGGCTCTGGTGTGATCACCGACCACAGTTGTGAGTCCAAGTCGAAACAATGTAGATCGTTGGGTAATGTTGAGTCTGCAGACCCGCCGAACACGTATAGAAAGCGATCGTGATGCACCATGGTGTGACCATAACGACGCGAGGGAGGCGCCGAAGCGGCACCACGCAACACAGACTCATTGGAGATGCGACGCCAGCTGCAAGCCAGGAACTGTATGAAAATTAAGAGCTCTTTTTCGACTTTTTACTTACGTTTTTGTTTTAAAATGAAATTCGAAGAGTGAATTGGTGATCTGCAGACCACTTTGGCCGGAAAATACATACATGCAGTCGCGGGCAACGGCGACGGGAAAATTGCAGCAAGTGGGTGGACGTTCTCCCTTCTGCTCGACCTCTTCCCACTGATGGTTTTCGCCCTAATAAGAATGTATACGGTATAAAATATATTTCCAATAAGCTTGCAAAAGTATACGCACAGTTAAATTCAGCGTCCACATATCGTTTAGGCGTGCATTACCATCATATCCCGCATATATCCACATCTTGTTGTCGTAGACGGCGGCGCCATGCGCTGAGCGAGGTACTGGCATTCTAAAAATATGAGAAAATTCAGAAATTAATTGAATGCATTTGCTTGCTTTTTCCTAGCACCTACCTTCCTGAAAACTTCCACTCGACCCACATTGCACTCTGAAACTTGTATTCGAACAAGTCATTTTTGTTTGTCAGATTAGAATTTGAATGTATATCGCCTGTGTAGCCACCAAATATGAACATTGAACTGCCATACACAACTGCCGAGTGATGGTAGCGTGGCGCCGGTGGCGTGCCTGTAGCACAAGCGCGTCCCCACGACTTATCCTTAACGCCAAAGCGTATTAAATCGTTGAGCATCGTCTTGCCATTATCGCCACCGAAAACAAACATGGCATCCTTATATGCCACTACAGTGTGCTTGCTGCGCCTGTAATTGTACAATAAAAATTCCGATAATTAAACAAACTACTATGTACGAAAAATATGTAAGCCACACTTACTTGGCACCTACAAATTCGGCGCACTCGAGCATTTTGGTCCACTGATGTGTTGCCGTATACGAACTGAAATCTACATTCAAGGCATTTAAGCTATAGCTCCCCGGCGAGATCGACTTGCAGCTAGCCACATCGTACATGCAAACAGCGCCACTGCTGCGGCAACTGCTGCCACTACTGCCGCGCATTGAACTGGAATTGGAGTGTGACATTTTGCTGCGCGATGACGAACTCTTTCGACTCTTACGACTGCCTGTATTGCTGTGGCACCTGTCCGCAGACGCCTGACAGGCAGAGCAGTAACCACTGGAGTTGGAGGAGGACAGGTTGCAGGTAAAACCGCCACCGGCTCCTACAATGCCAAAAGCTGACTGACTACAATTGCTACCCGTGCCAATAGCAGTGCTGCATGCAGCGTTCAGACTGTTCGAAACAGAGCTAGATGTTAGGCTGCCACTACCACTAGCGCCACCGGTTCCAGCGCCCACACCTCCACCGCCACTTCCGCCCCCACCACTGCTGCCACTGCCGCTGCCGCCACCTGTGTCTTCTGTTGATTCTGTGGACTCTGAGCCGAGCAAAGCTTTCAGCATTAACGAGTTACAGGTGTAGAATCTCCTTCGTTGGCTTATTTTGCTGGCCGTTTCGTGACTTGTACAGAGTGAAAATTTTTAGAAGTAAACCAAAAAAAAAGAAAATAGCACTAGATTGATGCTATTAGTTAACGCCCACGAACTTCTTAAGCAGGGCTCATGTAACGCAAGGAATACACAAACGCACAGTTGCACCTACAATTGGAGCAGCCAGCCAAGCCACAATTCTTAAATCCCAGCGCGTCGCGCTGTTCCATGCAAAATGAGCGGTGAAACTGTTTTGGTAGTCACTTTTTAGATTGTTTGCAAACAATTTGGAAAATTTTCACAGCAATCACTTTTTTCTAAAGCTATTTTTCCAACCGCTTTGTCTGTATACCAAAATGTAAATCCCCAGTAAACCCCCACAAACTCGTCCCGAACAAAATTGGATAAAATTTATGAATGAGTTGACAGTTCGCCTTGTGCCAAAGAACAGCTGAGCGGCAGAGCTGCCAATTATTTATTTAAGGAGTTAAAATCAGGTACATATTTGGGAATTTCAAGTTTCGCGGAATCCGAACATATTCTAGTGTTTTCAAAAAAAAAATCGATAGCTTTATTAAACAAAAAATTTTGCGTTAAATTTGTTTTAAAATAGTTACAAAATGAAAGTAAATATTTTTATTCCAACTGATATGTTGAATATACACATGGTGAAATTAAAAACAGGTGTAGTAGTAGATGTAGGTGTCTAGACGCCAGCTATTCAGCGACCAAAAGAATTTTTCACCACAAAGATATGACCCCAAACTGAGTCCATTTCAACTTATTTCACCCACAGCAGTAATTTGTCTACGTTGACCAATAGCAAACTAGCATGTTAATTTGTGTGTGAAAATAAAAATAAAAATAAAAATTCTTTAAATTGGTTTTTTGCGATAACGAATAGAAATTATTATTTTCTAATATTTTTTGGAAATATCCTTTTATACTTGCATTTAACATTTTTTAATAAAACAAAAAATTTCTCTTTTCATAAATTTTGGTTTTGGCAAACATTTTCTTCTTATATTTCAAAAAAATAAAAAATTAATAAAACTAATTTTTTCTCATTTCATAGCATCTTTATTTGATAAAATTTTATTTTTGGTCATTTTCGCTCTACATAAATTGATAAAATATCAAATATTTCCGCTAAAAATTATTTAAAAATGCTACTTAGAATAATGGAAAGAAAGCAAAGAGGAAACTGTGAACAGGATTTCGTTTATAATGCACGTATGTACATATGTGTTCGTAGTAAATTTTTATTTACGTATGTACATATACATATAAAATTAAAGATAAGTATGTAAATGAATGCAAATAAATGGATAACAATAAATAAATAATCATGATTTTTATGGAACTTTTTTAATATTTTTAACATTTTTTATATCTTTAGCTGTTATAATTTAAAATTTATTATTTATTGCTTTATGTTAATACTAAACTTATCACAATAATTATTTTTTGGCAATTTCGGGTAGTAGCACTTTGGTAGAGCTTGCGCCCTTAGGCCCCTAAGTGGTCACCTAAGCGTTAATAATTTTTAAGGCTAGAATGCTTTAACAAGGTCTTTTTTCATTTAAAATGTGGTACACTTGGTCTAATATAGCAATTAGCTACGAACTAAGTTTTTATTATTTTTACTAATTTAAGACGGAATGTTCCAAAATATAAAGAATTTTTCTGTTTAAAATTTAAGGCACCTGCAACAATGTGCCTTTGGGTAGACACTTAAGGGTTAATAATTTATACTAGACTAGATTAAAATGCTTAAAATCAGCGCACTTGGTCCTATGAACCCTTCGGTGACCACCTAAGTGCTAATAATTTTTAATTATACTAGGTTGGAATGCTTCAAAAGTTCATTTTTCGTTTAAAGTATAGCACACTTGGTTCACTAGACCCCCTCAGTGACTACATACGGGCTAATAATTTCCAATAAATTAGATTGAAAAGTTCAAGTTTATGTATAAAATATAGCTGAGGACATAAATAACACTAATAATGTCAGTTGACTCAAACAGAAACTGTGGCAATCCTATGGCATACCGTTCGAGGTTGCACTCCTCAGACAGTGCGGCTGACAAGCGCACAACCAAGGAGTTATCATCGTATGTACATAAATAGGCACTTTTCAACTTATCCTAGTCCTTTAAATTAAATACAAAGCTTCAACGCTTCGTCCCGCATCACTAGGATTCATCTGGCTTTGATGTGCGCTCTAGCGGAAATCCTTCAGGCTTGCTGCTCTTCCGCTGCGCCTGCGTAATCTGCACAATTCGTGAGAGCGGCGAGTGTGTGCTACCCGTTGTGGGCGGGCGCGCCGCAGCGCCGGTGGGGACAACCGGTGATGCGGTCGCTGAGGTGCTGCTGGACAGCAGGCGCGTAGTGCTCGACACTGTGCCAGCACTGCCCGTCGGGCTGGTTGGACTCGGATCGCCTGAACTGCTGGTCGACGATGGTGTTGTTGATATATTGAGTTCGCGTGCCAGCGGCGAGGGACGCAGCGATAGACGACGTTGCAGTACACTTTGAGAAGAAGCTGGCGACAGCGCGGGTGCGGTCGGTATAGTTTGTTGTGGTAGCGCGCTATTCACATTCGCGCCTGGTGGCGGCGCTTTGCCGGGCGGTATTTGCAACGCGGTTGGACGCACGCTGAAGCGGCGCTTGAACTTGTTACTTGGCGTTGAGGCGTTGCCACCATTTGGTGGCGCATTGGTGTCGCGCTCACTGTAGCTGGGTGGTGGCTCGGGAATTTGTTGTACAGCTGATGACTTGCGGCGGCGCGTGAGAACGCTGGTTGGACCCGAGGACTGTGCGAGGCCGGTGGTCGAGCCCGAGGGTGTGTTGTTGAATGAGGAGATGGGCAGCGCTCCGACGACAGTGGAACGACGCGCGTACATACGGTTTGCGGCAGCCGCGTTCATGGCGCGCTTGTTGTCGCCACCCAATAGGGAGAACAGTGGTGGCACGTCAGGCAGATCGAGGCCAGCGTTGCCCACTTTGCGTTTCTTATTCTCACTGCCGAAGATGCCACCCATGTCGTTTGCTGTTATAACGGGTGGACTATCGGCGGTTTCCTCCAACACGGTCGCTGTATGCATTGCCTCTAGCGCGCGTATCAAATCAGCAATTGTCGTATTCTCCAACACTTCACGCTCCTCTTCTGAGGCGACCGAGAAAAGGCTGGGGCGGCGATCGTTGCCACCGGCGCCGCGTCCGCCATTGGCCGGGAACAGACTGCCGCGCCGCGACTGTGGTCCAGCGGTGCTAAAGAAGCTGCTGCGGCGTTGGGTGAGTCCGGCGGCATTCGAGGTGGGGAACAGACTGCCACGGCGTGCGCCCGAAGCCGGGTTTTGCGTGAATATGGATTCACGCCGCTTGCGCCCACCACCACCATTCAGCGCGCCGGCTGGTTGTTTTGCGGTTAGACTGCTATCCGAAGGATAACTGACTGGTAGTGCAGGCAGCACAGGCTTGCCATTGGCGTAGTAGGGTGGTTGCGTATCCGCCGCCACCGTGCTGTAGTAATCCAGCGGTGGTGTACGACGTGCCGACTCTGGTACGCTTCTAATCGAAAAGCGGCGCGAGCCATTTGGCATTGATATATCCGTGCTAGGATCTTGCGCCGTTATGCGCTCCTGCGAGGAGCGTTTCTTCGAGGGGAACAACTTGCGCAGGCCATCTGGCATAGAGAACTTTTTGACGCGCGACTTCTGTGGCTCCTCCTCTTCCATGTTCACAACGTAATCGCGTGGCGGTAGACCAAAACTGGAGCGATACAAATCCTCGCTGTCACCTTGCTTGTAGCGGCTGTTGATGGCCTCTTGTATGCGGTCATTGTCGCCGCTCCAGGTCCATTCATTGGGCAGTGCAGTGGGGCGACGTTGACGCCATGGCGGCTCGAAGTTGTAGTCAGAGTTTGCACGTCCGCGTGGTTTAGGAATGTCGTTAGCGCTCGGATAAGACCACTCACTGGCGAGTATTTGCGAATCAGAGAATCCATGGTAACCACCAAAAATGCTGGCATCGTCTTCCTCCTGCGGTGGTACGCGTACGGCGCCCAGCGCATTGACCACCTTGGCTAATAGTTCCGAGGTCTGCAGGAACGCGTCGGCGTCTTGGAAGGACTTCTGTTTGTCTAACTTGTCCAGCTCTGTATCAGAAGAAGCGTGCACAGGTTCGAGCATGCCGCGTGCCTCGACCACATCGTAGCTCTCGGAGAATGCCCGCTTGCGTGGGAACTCCGGTGGCGGTTCGGCGCGATACATGGTTAGCTCTGGGGCGGAGTTGGAGCGATACAGCTGCTGACTTGTATCCGGTTCGGTGTAAACAGGCTTTGGGCGAAGGAGGAGAGGAGAATACAGAGAATGAAAGAAATATATTGGGGTTGATAAAAAGAGAATATTAACATCGACATTTTTGAATAAAACTTATTTAGAAAAAAATATATCATAAAAACATATACATGCATACATATGTAAGCAATTATTTGAGAAAACAGAAAAATCAGTTGCATAAAGTTAAATTCTTCTAAGCGTTAAGTGCATTTTTTTACAAAATACCCATAGTAAAAAATTTTATTTTATAAAAATTACGAAAAAAATTTAAAATTAAGAAATTTAAAGAAAAATTTTCAAATTTTTTACTTTGTCAATAAGTTGAAATTTCGAAAATATTAACAATGTTACAATCGGCAATACTTCCTTTTAATTAAAAATACCATGGCTTAGGAAAAAAATGTCTGTTTCAGAATTCGATAATTCGATTCATTGAAGTTCTGAAAACTATTAGGAACTCGCGAGAAAATTAATAGTTTATTATAAAAAAATTTTTATTTAAAAATTCCATAGATGGAGAAACACTAAAATTTAATTTTTTAAAGTTAGAATATGAAATGTAGTAGGGGAGCTCACGATGTGTAGCATTTTGGGTGTTATTGGAAAAGCAACAAAACGCATGGTAGATTACTACGTAACAACTTTACACCTAAAATGCTACATTGTACAAAAAATATCATCTAAAAAAAATTAGGAAGTTTTAAAAATTAAAATCTACTTAATAAACTATGATAAGGAAATAATATTAATCAACTTGTATCATTTAGTTTGATTTAAAAAACTTCAAATAAAATTATATTTTCACATTCAAAAATTCGAAAATTTTCCACCTGAAAACATATTTTTTATGCAAGAGAAACGCCAACATAAATCGAAAAAATATTATTTTTAAGCTTTTCCTATGAACCTTAAAAAAGTTTTAAATTTATGAATTAAAAAGATTTTTTATTTAAATAAGTTTAAGCATTAATTGCATTTAAATCTTTAAAATCAGATATTAGGAAATCCAGATCTAAAAAAAATTAAAGTTTTTTTAAAGATTATTAATATTTTTATTAAATTATAACTAACACAAAATAATGCTGCCCGCTGTTATCTCATCCCATACTTACAGCAATTTTCTTGCGGCCAATATTATTGATTATTTTAGAAAAATAACTATAAAAAATTAAAAAAGAACAAAAATCGCCTTAAATTGCTGTGTTTTATTAAACAAAAATTCAACCCGCTTAGTAATTGTGGCACACAAATACAACAATGTGAAATTTTCGAAAATAATAAAAACCTAATTTTTTCCAAAGAATTTTTTTGTAGTTTATTATTTTTTTGTTAATTTTGTGTTTTTTAAATTTTTGCAATTGTTTGTTAATTTGTAAATCCCTTTAGTATTGATGGGGTTAATTCAGTGTCAAGTTAAGTGTAACTAAATGTACTTTTTTATGTTTTACAAAGTTTGTGTAGAACCCCTCAAATATAACTTAAACATATTAACTGAAGATTGATTTTAAGCTTATCGTCTTTTTAGAAAAAGTTTCCAAACTTGTTATTACCTCTTTATAATCGCTGAGCTTACCATTTTTTATACTTTTTAAAACATCTAGTGAGCATTAGAGTAAATAGATGATACAAAATATATATATATTTTTTTAATATTTCATAAACATAGTTTTGTTTTAAGTATGAGCGCACTAAAATTTTTATTTGATTTCAATGAAATTTTCTTAATTCATTTTTGACCGATTACGCAAATATGGAATGTTGGTATTTTTGCTTCGCTACGTGAAAACAGTATTATGGTAATATATCTTCTTACCACATCCTTCATTCCTAAATTATTACAGCTACATACTACACATAATATTTATTTATAAAATTTTTAATAAATTTATAGCAATTTCTTTACCTTCACTCTCATTATATACAGCTCATTCAAAATCCTTCGCAAGTGTCCCACGTCTTTCGTAACTCCCGTCCAAATACGATTTTGTGTTGTTTTTATATTTGTGGAGAGTTGTTGTTCTAAACGTCTTAGCTTCTTACTTTGTAAACCTCTGTAAACAATTTATCAAATTTATGTTGGGTGTGCAAGTAAAATAAGCATTTATTTTTATGTGGACATAATTTTTTGTAATAGCAATGCTTCACGTGCCATTAAATGTTATTCACAAGTACATACATATAAAAACTATTAATAATAATAGTAATAATAATGATAATAATAATAGTTATAAAAAATAATTAGCAAACCCTTTCGCAAATCATAAAAATACTATTCTCCCCCTATTGAGTCCCCTTGTAAAATAAAAACATTAACAACCAAACAATCACTGTACCGTAATCCATCACCAACGCCGATAGTGATCCAGCTTCAGAATAAATCACATTATATATTACACATATTAGTTAGCCATTTTCACCATAAATTAATCACTATGCGCCTATAGTTTTGAGCAATACTTTTTTCAAAATTTCTCTCATTCAAGCTGATCAACTACCGACCGTAGAACAGAAGCCGGAAACCAGAGAGATTAGACCGGTTTGTAACTGGCCTGGTAGGCGTTCGGTTCTTTCGATAACTTCAACCATTCAACTTCATGGAGATCATGAGGAACTTTATCATTTGTTTCAGAGTTGTGGAAAAGGGATTGGCAGAAGATCCTACTCGCTAACAAAATCTTTCAGGCCTTGGTAAGAATATTCTTTGCGCTAATAGCATTAAATAAGATTATAGACAATAACATGAAGATGAATACTCTGAAGCGAGCATCCAGAACAGCTCGCATATGTATTGTGCAGAGAGGTTCAATTACATACACTGTTCTATAATATGGAGTTTATATCAGCTGATTTGGGATATGCAAACTGCTTTCGAATGCGGTGAAACAGTGCTCTGTGTTTTGTTATCATAAAGGGAGCCTTTGATATTCGAGAAAAGAAATGTACAGTCAACAACCATATCTAGTTGATAGCAACGCTATTTCAGATCAGAGTCGTTGAAGCGTAAACAGAGAAAAACGTAAGTTCTCCTATCCTCCTTTCTATCCTATCCTCTTTGCATGGAATTTAGTGGTACGCAAAGTTCTCCGATCACTCTCGGATATTGGCATCTGCTTCAAGGCTCTGCGGATGATAGATCTTTAAATCATGACCTGTTTACAAAACAGACTGTCGAAGGGGATTAAAAAGCGGTATGTCGATCGATTTCGATCAGGATAGGTATTTAGTCGTATATGTGCGCTGCTAAATCGGCTNCTCTTTGCATGGAATTTAGTGGTACGCAAAGTTCTCCGATCACTCTCGGACATTGGCATCTGCTTCAAGGCTCTGCGGATGATAGATCTTTAAGTCATGACCTGTTACCAAAACAGACTGTCAAAGGGGATTAAAAAGCGGTATGTCGATCGATTTCGATCAGGATAGGTATTTAGTCGTATATGTGCGCTGCTAAATCGGCCATCTGCCTGTTGTGTCTAAATATATCGAAAAATTTACTGCCGTCCCTAAATTGGCGCGTCAAGCGCCAAACAACTGTCAAAAATCCTCATGCCTGTACAATTTGTATGGAGCATTCCACAATAACGCGGCGCTAGCGCCGAGCAAATGGAATTTTCATTTTTGACAGGGCGTTACATGTTGAAGTTGGATGCAGAAGACGGAAAGAAAGGGAAAGGACAAAAAAGTGAAAGAGGAATCGAGAAAAATCGGAAATTTCCGTCTTGTTTTCTTAGGTAAATTAAAACCATGGAACAACTCGCCATCTTTCGGGATATTTCGGGACTTTTCGTGTTTTATTGGGGACTTTTGGGGATTTTCGTTAATTTTCAGATTCAACGGCAAATTTAAATGTTAGCTTTTTATCCTTTTCCTAATATAAACGCCCAGCACTGTATACTTTGTATATGTATGTTATGATTAGTATTCGATTATGAGTTAGTATTCGATTATGGGTTAGTAGGACATTTCACATATTGTATGCAATTCGATTAGCTTCACAAAACAAGCAAAACACATAATTATATCTAAACACACATACATGGAAAAATTTGCGAATATTTTAAAGAAAAAAATTACCTCGTTATAAAGCCCATAATCATAACCAAATAGCCTAAGGCGAATATAAACCAGAATATGACAAATATCTCATAGACCACAAACCAGCCGCCGAATTTGCTAGGCTGAAAAGAAAAATATTAAAAAAAAAATTAGTACAGAAATGTTGTTTTGATATTAGACATCTTACTTACCTGATCTGCACCAAAAGTCGGCACATAATCACCAAAACCAATGGTTGTTGTAGTTACATAGGCAAAATAAATCGAAATGGAATAGGACCATTCCTCGAAGTATGTAAACACAAGCGCTGGCAGGAGTATGAAAATAGCAATGCCTGGTATTAGGGCAATAAGTATGGCGGTGACTAAGCCCAACTGCGGTGGCACATAATGTTTATCGCGTGACATTTTATAACTCTTATAGCGACGGTAAATCATTTCGAACTGCAAAGAAATTTACAACATAAATGAAATTTACCATTTTTCCATTGATAGCATGAAGGTAAAAGTTTGGCATAATTCAACAATTTTTTTGAGCCTCAAGGCCATTTTTAATGAAAATTTTCGTGAAAAACCACAATTTACATTTTGGTAGGAGTTATAGCTGCAAGTTCGGAGATCACCACATCTCCTCATCAGACTTCTTTGACTGGGATTCGATACAACGACCACAGCCGCCATAGCCAGCAGTCTACCCACTGAGCTCTATTTTTTTTTATTTAAAAACTTGGCATACAATTTTGATCATCCAAAAATTGCGCATACATTTTTGACAGTTGAAAAAGCTGAACATACATTTGGTTACTTAAAATTCGACATACCAGTCTGCTGGTTTAAAAAATTAGCATACAATCTTAGTAATTTAAAAACTAAATTTTGGTCCTCAAAAATTTTTGCTAAGCTAATAAATGTGCATGGATGCTTTGTCATTTAAAAACTGCACACAAATTTTGGTTATATAAAAATTCGATATACATTTTTGGTTATTTAAAATCTGAAAATAAATTTGAATTGCCAAAAATGTATACCCACTTTTTAAATTACCAAAAAATATGTCCACTTTTTAAGTTATCAAACATAGTTGTCAAGTTTTCAATTACCAAAAATTAATGTCTGGACATAAATTTTGATTACAAAAATGTACGTTGCCAAAAAACTCTTCTTTTTTTTAAGTAACCAAAAATTGTCATGTTTTAAAATAAAATAAAATTATGTCCAGTTTTTCAATTATGTAACTAAAATTTATATCCAGTTTTTTTACCACCCAAAAATATATCCAGTTCTTATGTTACTAAAACTTTTTGTCAAGTTTTTAATTCATGTTCATATTTTTAAATTCAAGCGTTTAATACTTAATTCCACTCACCGTTCTGCCAAAGTAATCACCCAGCCCCGCAAAGAGTATTCCATTCACCGGTATACCGATGATTGAGTAAAATATCATTATTAAGCGGCCCGCAAATGTGGTAGGATAAATATTGCCATAACCCACTGTCGAACAGACAGTAAAGGCAAAGAACAGCGCATGATAAAATGTCCATGTATAGGGTGGTTCAAATTCATCCGCTGTTAAGTTGGTAACTTGTTTGCCACAATAATCCGATATATTTTCAAGTATCTCATTGATCGTGCTTTCATTCTTGCCGTCTAGCTCACCAACGAGGTATTCTAAAACACACACAAAAAATAAACAATCTTTACATAAATCAATTTTATTGTATACACTTATAAATGCATTGCTAGATATACATATTTAATCATCATCAGAAATCCAGAGTCCAAGTTCAAGTTATTGTGTTTTGAAATCCAAAACGTGAAAATATGTCTCTATAGCACTTTAGACCCGATATCCATTAAAACAGCATCGTGCAATATAAATAAATATGTCCCTAAACTAGAGATCTTTTGCAGCAGACAGGAAGAAAATATTTCCAACTTTACCAACATATGTACGTCTTATAAAATGATGTCCACATTGTTTTCTTCAAAGGCAAGGAGGTCAGCCTGCTGCCAGTCGAAAGCTTCGCAGTGTAACCTGGTTAATAAACGAGCGTTTTTTATGGATTCGGAGATGTCACTAAATTCTAACCCGATGTCATGAGTAACTGCCTAAATAGTAAATCTGTCTATCTGGAGATTCATTAACTATTGATATTTTGCTTAAACCGGATACAGGCGATCAGCCAAGCAGCGAGTTTAGGTATTCCCTGCAGTGGCTTCAACGGGAACCTGACGGAATTTAGAGAAAACGGAAAGGCCTTCCTAAATGAACCCTGTCATTGGTCCTCGTGCTTACCGTACTTTTGCTCCAAGCGCTGGCAAGACATTTCTTTGGTAATCTTGACGATCTTAAGCCTATAGGAATTAGAAATTCGTGAAATTAATCTACATATATTACCAAAGTGCTATGGAATATCTTAATGTTCGCGGAGGAATCAAAAGCTTCCTGGAGCGTTGTGCCATCGCAAACAAGCTACCGCGTTTTTTACGATTCAGCCTTGACAAAAAACTATCTGAAGACCTCATTATCGTAATGCCGGTTTCATCGATTTGTGTTCTCAGATCACTAAACGATAAATTTATTTCGATTTCCGCTTTCAATATCTAAGCTAGGACGCCCTAAAAACTGGATCTTTTGATACTAAAACGCCCCGTTCTCAAGACAGTGGTGTCTATTTAACCATAACGAAACCCAGGACAATCCTGAAATGCCATTTGGGGAATTTTTATGCAGTTACGACAACAGCCACTGAAAGGGTAGATAATTCTACTGAAACTACTAGAAATTAGCGAGGTGGGAGAAAGCCAATGAACTGTGTTTTGTTTTGTTTCTGAATTGCTAGCCGACCTTATATGAAAACTTAAAAGCCTGTCTTTCTTCTGGAGCTCAGCACAATGGTGACCTGATGAAGCTAAAGTGGACCATCAAATAAGTATATATGTAAGTATATCCTATACAAAAATATATGTATCTACTTTTTTGAATTGGACCTTATATGAAATAGCGACGCTATTTAAATTTGAAACGACTAACAAGAAAATAACCCACTAATTAAATAATCAAATTAATTTAAATAGTTTATTTTTACTACATTCGAGCACAATAACGCTTATGTAAGCAGTAATTCAATGCTTTGTAAGATAGTTGACTGAACTTTTTATACGAGTGGATATTTGTTGTGTAGGATACNATAACGCTTATGTAAGCAGTAATTCAATGCTTTGTAAGATAGTTGACTGATCTTTTTATACGAGTGGATATTTGTTGTGTAGGAAAATGTCTTTCAAAAACAACTAAATACAATCTTTCGTTTATTGAGTAAGCTTGCTGTAGAAAATGGAAAACTACCACTGCGGTATCACAATAGTTTTTGAGAAGGTGACAAAAATCAGATCAACAATTTTTACATATGTACATATACCTACACACATACATATTCAGGTACTTTTCAACAACAACCCCACAACTTGAGATTTGCAACAAATCAAAGTAGTTAATGACCCCCAACAAAGCAAGCGTCGACTATACTTGCAAAGGAACGCATACAATTGCATCGCTGCTCAGTTTTCTGTTGCATTGGTATGCCATAANACAATCTTTCGTTTATTGAGTAAGCTTGCTGTAGAAAATGGAAAACTACCACTGCGGTATCACAATAGTTTTTGAGAGGGTGACAAAAATCAGATCAACAATTTTTACATATGTACATATTTAGGTACTTTTCAACAACAACCCCACAACTTGAGATTTGCAACAAATCAAAGTAGTTAATGACCCCCAACAAAGCAAGCGTCGACTATACTTGCAAAGGAACGCATACAATTGCATCGCTGCTCAGTTTTCTGTTGCATTGCATTTTCCAACAACACACTTGACAACCAACTGTGAGTAAAGTCGCTAGCAACAAATCTTTAAATCTCATTGGACTCACATCCCTGCCGATTGGTTTGCATAAGTTGAACATTTGCCTAAATTAGTTGCAATTTCAGGTTATTAACGTAAATTTTCTTCGTCTCTCCAACCTTGTGCGCATAAATGACCAGGAATTGTGTGTAAATTATGAAAATTGTGGGCGTTTATCTGTGTAAATTGGTTGAAAATGTAAGATTTTTAAAGATTTCCATACATAAGCAGGAAGAGTGCAGCTGACGAAGGTAGCAAGCACGACTTATTTATGCGATTGCGTAAGCACTATGACCTTCGTGCCATCGGAAGAGGAAAAAAATGTTTGTAAATTAGGTAAACAGATATTTAGTGCCAATAAAGTGCGGAGCAAAGTGATACTCGTAAGACATCTGCGGTGGTGGTCTGTAAGTCAAAATTTCAGACGAAAAAAATTTGACGAATTTCAAAAAATGTTCATTAAAAATACTAACTTTTTATTCAAATTTAAAATTCTAGGTATGCAGTTATACAGACCTTTAAAGTGCAAGTTTGAAGTAATTTTTTTTTTGCTGACGGTGCTGTGCGTTTTTCTTTATATAAAAAAAAAAAAATTCGATATACTTGTATGGAAGAACATGCGTGACACCGTCAGCGAAAAATTTGCCAAAAATTAACTATAACTCCTAGCTACTTCAGACTTGCACTTTGTTGTACTAAAATTCAATTGGTTCAAAACTACGTACCAAATTTTTTTTTTTTAATTCTGATTAAAAAGTTTGAAATTTTGATGACATTTTATCGAATTTTCCTACCTTTTGTTTAAAGTCTGAAATTCAGACTAACATGGTTTTTGTTAGAGAGTAATCTATACTTAAATCAAAAAATAATAAACATTAAATAAAGCAAAGGAGCCAAAACTTAACAATGTCCGGTTCCTATTTTTTCCGCCACTGTATATACTAATAGACTAACATAAATTTTGTCCGCCTTCGTTTGGCGGTTCTACTAGCTCGATTTTAAAACCAAACCCAGTATTGGATAGGCATTTTGCTGTAGAAGACGAGTTTTTATGGTTTCAGAATTTATTTGAAAATTACGAGTGCAATCGCCATTTATAAATTGTGCGTTTTGTGTACTGTTATCGTCGTTGAAAGGTGCAATTTGAGTTATACTTGGTATGTTGACAATATATTGTTTTCCTTGTTTTGTTTTGCTTCGAATTGTTGTTTTTGAATGCGGGGACTAACACGAACACAACTACGAATACAAAGGCGTAGACGAATGAAGGAGTTAAATAACACGATGAAGACGAAGACGACGACGAAGATGGATCCGAAGAAGAATACGACGATGAAGACGAATATGACGATAAATACGAAGACGAATACGAGAACGAGGACGAATTCAAATACGATGACGAATGCGGAGATCAATACTAAGAAAAATGCAACGACTAGGGTGAATTTGACGATTAATGCGAACACAAAACGATCCGAAGAAGAATACAGAGGCGAAGACGAATACGAAGGCAAATACCAATATGAAATCGAACACGAAGGCGATATGGGAGATTAATAGGAATACGAAAACGAGTACGAATATGAAGACGAAGACGAAGACTTAAAGTAAGGTTAACATTAAGCTTAATAAAAATTTCTGTAATATGAAAGGAACTATAAATGAATCGAACGAAGTTCAACATTTTTATTTTTTATTTTTTCTGATTTTTCTGATGACTGATACAGTATGATTCCATACTTGGTTGAAAAATACTTCAGACTAAGGTCATTTGTCAAAGTATGAAAAATCATAAGTAGTAATGTTGTAGGTAGTTCCGGTTAGCAGCTTTCTATGTATCATCATTCTATCGAAGTTTCCTCTCTTTCTGCCGTGTTGCAAGGCTCCTTCCGTGCTGGTTAAGCTCCACCAAGCTCCACCGAGCCCCGCGGATATCCGTATATTAACCGGATATCCGGATAACAAAAGAGAACGGATATTAACCGGATATCCGGATCTTAACCGTATACAGGAATATGCGAACGGATATCCGAATATACGGATACTCCGAGCCCTACCTATCATACTTTTATATATATATTTGTGCATATGTATTTGATTAATCTGCAGCTGATAAAAATATTCCAATCCCTTTCATACAAATTGTGCAACAAGGTCAAATTTTGCTTTTCAAAGAAACTCGAAAGGTTTTGCAAGTACATACTTTACAAAAGGTTACTAACAAACAAAAAATATAAACAAACAACAACTTAAATATTACATTTCACACAAAATCACATTATTTTTAATTTCCTTTGCTTGTTTTATTGCAACTGAAGCATTTTATTTTGATTGCATTAACGTAAATGTAACTGATAAGTAAAAACAAATCTTATCTTAATGACAGACAGGGGCAGGCAGTTGAATAACTAAATGGAAAATTAAAGCGCCATTAAGTAATTGTAAATGTCAATAAAATATGTATGCGAGTACTTAAAATAGGAGCTTCATACGGCATGTCGGTATGCAAATATACATATATGTGTACTAGGGTTTTTTTTTTTGCGACTATTTTTTTTTTTCGGTCCCATCGTGAATTTTTGTTGGAAATACCCAAAAAAAAAATCCCTAAAAGTTTGAGCCCTTAATATTAATTTTAAGTACTCGGCCAAGGCGTGTGAAGATTTTCCATTTAAAATACACGGGAACTTTGATTTTTTTTTTTTAAATTTCTATAGTTCAGCGGCATTTAATGGTATCACCTTGTCCAAAATGGGGATTTTCT